TGTCACCATCGCGTATGGACCACACGTCACACAGTGCATAAACGTCAAATCATACGACGGTGTAACTCAAAGAGAAGAAGGCGACGAACCTAGCTATGATAAAGTGCTTTGTTGTATGATGATCTAATTTTCATGTTCCCGGATCGAGTGGATCATCTCATCTCATACATCCATTCCCGTGTCTGATGACGTGGAGTGTTGCTGGGATCACAAAATGTCCAATTACACCATATCGCTGTGTTCTTGTTCCTGTACTCTGGCATCCACCTGAACAGATTTAAGTTTGACATTTTACAACCAATAACCATGCATTACCGTGCGCCGGTTCGGGTTGCTGTCTTTTGGTCACCTATTTGGAAAATAAAACAGAGAAGGATGAAGATTGGAATGTTAAAAGCAAATTCAAACGGAAAATGGAGAATTTAACGGTGGCCATGATCTCGGGGTGGAGCCTGACGGGACCTATGTAACCCAGACTCCTGGTTAGGATTTTCATACCCTCATACCAGGTGTCAGTTTGACCACCCTTGGCTTTTTTTTCCACCCACTGCCTGCCTCGGCAATAATCGCTTGCCGTGGCAACCCATTTGATGACATGCATAACACATGCCTCAATCAACGTAACCTATGAAGGTCGACTACCTGGTCCAGTGGACGACTGCGACTACTTAAAACTCTACACCTTACCTCATGGCATTGCTCGCCCGGTTATCCCACCAGACTCGTGCAATGCTACGTAGACAGCGGTGTTTGAACACTGACAGCCTATTTTTATCCAAGTCTCTGCACCATAGAGCAGTCCTGGCCGAACTGTTACAACATACACTCGACCGTTCACAGACAACCGGTTGTCGCAACAGCGTTTTCGGAGTTACACGCCTACCGAGAGCATCAGACTCGAATCCCATTCTTACCGTTGCACCTCATCATATTCATCGTTTCCAGTTGACTTCATTGACCTGACCTTATGTTTTGCATTGTAATTTGTTTTTTCTCCGTTAGCGGAACACCTCGTACTGGCATAAGCTGTCTGGATGGAAACGAACAGATCAGTAATCATCGCTCACTGGAGCTGTGTATATGTAGCAGTTAGCTGGATCAAAGGAAAATAAAATACAAAACAATCGAAACACAAAAGTTATTTTTTTTTCTTCACATATTAAAAACAAGATCAAGATTAAAAAGAATGCGCTGTACAATTATATGATCCTTCCTGTCACAAATATACTACTACTACTCCTACTACTACTACTACTACTACTACTACTAACAATCTGTTGGTGAGCCCTGATGATGATGATATGTGGCTTTGGGGCGGGCAAAAAAAAGTGCACATGGTAGGTGTGTGAACTTGTACTTTTACAGGTGTGTGTGTGTGTGTGTGGAAGACATGTATGTGCATCATGTGGACGAAAGAGGAAGGACAAAGGTGATTTAACAGTGAACATGATTCCGGCGCATGTGTGTGTGTGTGTGTGTGTGTGTGTGTGTGCATGTTTGTAGACCTCACGAACAAACACAGACACAGAAAAGACTGTTCAAGTTGCAAATCTGTCAGGCCCGCATTATTCCAATGACAGATCGGGTATGAATACTGATCCAGTTTATGTGGATGAGTAGTGTGTGTGTGTGCGCGTGCCATGAATAAGTACAGTAAACGATGAATGATGCATAAGCAAATGTTCTCCTTTTCCTGCTTCCAGTATCTAGAGGTTAACAAAATATTTCACACATTATTTATTTATGAGTGTGCATGTGGAATCCAATATGCACTGTGTGTGGGTGGCCGTTGGTGGGGAGAATAAAGAGTAAAGAATGGAGAGGGGAAAAATTAAGCGCGTTTAGCGATCGATAAATTACACAAGGCACAGTCGATGTGCTTGTGTGTGTGTGTGCGCGCGCATGACAGACAGACAGACTGCGTGAGAAATAAATAACATGTCAATAATCTTGACACAATCAGATCGAATGGCTTTTTTTGCACGATTCCCCAAATGTGAGACAGTCGGTATTCATCATTCCGTTTCCGGGATCCCGAAACCGAGTCGAGCGAATGCCATCCCGAGACGAAGACGTTGCACTTTCGAAAACTGTTTCTCCATCACTGTATGATCGATATGTAACAACGGATCATCTCGATCCGTGTCCGGGAATTTGGACGTTTTCAAATCTTTTGAATGAACTTCACGAGAAATCATTTTCAAGTATTGGAATAAACTGATCACCGATGCAATCCGATTCCGGGCCTCCGAGGAGATTTTCACCACCAGCGTTCGATTTTCATCTTTGTCTTTTTTATAACCTGAGGTGTCCTGAGTGTGTCAAACGAGGAAGAAAGAAAGAATAAACCGACCTTTTGGAAGACGGAATGCATTTTTATCCCCATTCGCAATATGGACTGTGAATATAGAAGTAAAAACAAACAAAAAGAAAACAACACATCGCATGAAATTAACACGTTTCAGTATAAGCATGAAAACTTTAATCAAATCGGAACGTTTCCATCCTGGTGGAGAATTGGCAAATCCAATCATGGAGTACAATTTTTTGTTCGAGGCGACCGTGAGCTAGGCATTTTCACAAAGCACAGTGCATACCGAAAAGCAGAACAGTTCCGCTCCGTGGCCTCTGCGACGGATAGGAAC